CACCACAGAGTCCTTTTTTTAAAATTCTTATTTTTGTAGCGAAGAAGGGGGGGCTCACAAGTTCAATGACTCAAAAAACACGCCAAAAATGGGTGGTTTTTTACATAAATGTCTGTATCCGTATATATAATAAAAAACAAAGCTTAATTAGAAAAAGGACTCTGTGGTGCCCTGCATCTCGACGCGCTCTTTCAAACAAAAATAAAATTTTAATATATTGATAGAGTCCGGACCGAGAAAAAACGAAAAACATTTTTCGTTTTATCTTAAAAACGCATATTTTTCAACGGAATCATCAAAAATTTTGGCCAAAAACGAGGTGACGACGAAAAAGCAGTAGCGTTTCTAAAAGAGCAGAAGATGGGCTATCTTTCCATGCATTTATCTGAATTTCGACGATTTTGGCGAATAGGGACTTTTTTTGAGGGGGAAGAGGCCTTAATAATAAAACAGAATAGAACTTTTCTCTAAAAATTATATATCTTTGAAAAGAAATTTATTTTTATTGAAGATATTTCCAATTGAGACCACATATTCTATATATTTACTACAGTATAGATGAGAAAAACAAATGAGTTGTAGATTTCAATTCATTATGAACTTCACTAAAGTTTTTAATCAGACATATTGACTGACATTAGATAAAATTCAATTAAAATTTATGTGTAAGCAAAAAAAATTGCCGTTAATAAATCTAAGAACGACCTTTTCAGTATGTTCAATTTTAGATTATTACAGAAATATCAGATAACTAATGAAATTTTAACAAATCATAATTGAAATTAGAAAAAAAATTTCGTATTGTTAGTTATGATTAATTATATTTTATCTTAAAACAAACTTACTTGATGTCCAAGGAAAATCATCTGGTCTCCAAAGACATAATGTTTGTAAATGAGGCATATAACCATTGAGGAAAGGTACAAGATGTTTACCAACATAAATGGATTCATAGTTACCAAGATTACAACTAGGAATACCAAATTCAGCATGTTGAACAGTACTTAGTACATTTTCTCTCAAGTCATCAAAAGCCTAAAAATGATTTGAAATAATATTTAGATTTAATGATATAAAATTTACTTTTTAGTTATTTTTATTTACATAATTACTTTTGTTCTTTTTAAACAAGCATACATGTATATGAAAAAGCTGAAATGATTATTATTAGGGATGTATCGAACATGAGACAAGACCAAGATCCTTGTGTGAGATAGTTTCAGCTTCTGTCAGTCTCGGATCTTGAAGAAACTACTTTTATGTCAATCTTCTTTTCGATTTGCATTCTATAGACACTCTTCACACATTGTTCGAATTATTTTAATGAAAAAATATTGATCTCTCTTCAAAATTGGATCTTATAAAACCAATTTAACGGAACTAGTATCATCAAAGTCAAAGATCTATCAATCGTTGATATCTGACAAAAAGGACAATGCAAGACAAAACGAAAAATCCAAAATCCAGAAGACTGAGAAAACCGAGACTGAGAGAATTCGATTCAGTACGTCCCTAGTGATTATTTACTTGACGTTTAACAAATCCATTTCAGAGTAAATATCAAATTCGCCTTAGTTTCTTTTAATAATGTTATAAATAGACTTATATGCCTCAAAAAAAATTTACGAAAGGTTCATACTTACATTTTCAATAACGTATAAAAGCCATTGAAAGTTTTCAAGAGAAAGATATTTGAGTTGAACAGGCATTGAAATAAGACGAGCAAATATTTTTGCACGTACTTTATCCAAGGCTGTAAATTTAGAACCATGATCTAAAAAAAAATTAATTTTCTTTAGATTTTATTTATAATAAAGAAATACAGTTTCAAATATCGATACAAACGAGGATTATTTGTTTCAGAACGGGAAAGTAATCGTAATTTCTTCTATATTTTGATCGTACTTAAAATGATTGCTTATCATTATTAAAGAATTATTTATTAGATGAGAAGAATAAAAAAGTTACTAATTATGAAATAACTAGCAGTGAAAAAGACATTAAACTACAAGGATGTATTGATGAAAAACAACAAGAGACAGAGAACTTTTGTTCTATGATCTTTTTGTTCGATATGAAAATTGTTTTTTGCTATAAAAAATCTCTCAAAGTTGTATCATGTACTTTGCGCTTCTCACTGTCACACGTCTGCTAAACGGTTACTAGGTAATCATTGATAACATCAATTTCTCGTTGTTGTAATTGACAGGTTTTATCATTACTTTTGCAAGTAAATATGAACTTTTTCGTTACTTACGTTAGTTACTCGATAATATTGAATACGGTCTTCTCATCATTAATCGCTTAGTAATGCAATAATAACTGATTATTTCTCTCTAGCTGTACTTCACTCATACTTGAATTTTTTGTTTGAAGATGAAATAATTAATTTTTGTTTTTTCTAATACTTTGATAATAGTATATATTTTAGTAAAATACGCTAGAAATAGAATGCTAAAGCAGACAATGAATAATGTCATTATATATTCGTTGGTATCTTTATCCGTTGAACTCTTGTTCTTCCATAAATGGTAATCGACATTTTAAATAGTATGATCTTTTTCCTGTTCATATAAATTGGAACTAACATATCTATTATATCAAAATCTACTACGAAGACTATTAAAGCATCCTCAAAGACTGATGTTATAAGTATAAGAAAACTTTAAAAAATAAAATGTTAATTTTATTTCATGGCGGTGGTCACAATTCCAGGAATTCTTAGCAACTATTTACAGCAATTGGAGCGACACGGCTAATATTTCTTTAAAATTTGACGATAATTCATGGTGGTAGAAACGGTGAAGCTGATCGGCATACATCTCGAGGTATGAACAAAGACGTTTGTTTTTGAATGTTCTAATGAATATTGTTGAAATTTTTCGATTAGTAAATACGTTGAAGATGCTTAATAAACGTAAAAGTTCAAGACATGTTGATAATATTGCACGTTTACAATATAAAAACTTGAACACTTACATTTTAATTTCTCAGAATGTTTGATTAAGAACTATTTTATATTAATTAACGTTTGTTCATCTGCTAATTTATCCCAAAGATGTGCTCATAAACTACAAATAGTTTTTTAAATCGAACTATATAGTTTTCTTGTCAAAACGACACTCAGTCAGATTTTGTGAGGGAGATATGTAAATCATTTTAAATGAAACAGTTTATATTTTTCTACTATAAATTTCAACGACCCAAAAGTAATGAACTAAGGTAACTAAGATAATCATTAAATAGAAAATGATTTTTTTTAATCAGTTTTGAAGAAAAAAACTTAATTTATACATACGAGTTGCACGACGATAACAATTTCCAAATTGAAGTTTTGTGACATTTACAAGTTGAATAGTATTTAAATTTCGTTGTCCTATTTTGAATGATGTTGCCAACATCCCTGATTTGTCATCAGACCATTCTACAAATAAATAATTATGATTTACCATTTTTTCTATTAGATTTAACTTAAATTAATATATTAATTCAGTTAAAATAAATCCAGTTGAATCTCAATATATTTTTTAAAATCCTTTTCGATTAACAACGAAATTTTATTTTGCATCCTTTTAATTAAATAATCAGATATGAAAAGTTAAATATAAATATTTTTTTTCCAGATAATCATTAGAACCTGGGAACTTCATCAGATATTCTTCAGATTGGTACGATTCAAATACGGACTCAGGTAGAAATGTGTTTATTAGAATTTTATTCAAATATAATCTCATACTCGAAACATTCTATTAATAGTCATGAAATGTGTTATATCTATAGAATATTAGCTGTTTAACATAGGTGGTTGGAACGTTAACAATGATGTACTAGGTTGAGCAAAAAGTTCGCGGTCACTTGCAAAAATTTTAATTTTTTAAGTTTATTTGTGAAGAGAGGGTCCTTGAACGTCGATGGCATTGTGCACTTTGAACTGGTTCCTGATGTTCGAGCCGTGAATGTCGAGCTGTACAGCAAGCAATTGGAGCGCGTCTACAATGTCTTGAAGCAGCGCTACCCGACGTTCATCCACCGAAAACGTACCCTTCTCCAACACGACAATGCTCCAGCTCATTGTGCCAATATGGCCAAGGAGAAGCTTGATGAATTCGATGGTGTAGAGGTTCTACCGCATCCGGCTTACAGTCTCGACCTTGTTCCTTCTGATTATGGCTTGTTTCGTTCAATGCAGCACTTTTTGCGAGGACGACGATTTGAAACTTTTGATCAAGTCGAAGCAGCGTGCCGTGAATTCTTTGAGTCCAAGGAGCTGCACTGGTATCGAGATCAGATTCGACAACTTGCAGTACGCTGGTGTAAGGTCATTGAGAATGATGGGTTGTACTTTGAAGAATAATTGTTATTGGTTTTGAATAAATTGATGCATAAAAAAGAATTTTTTTGCAAATGACCGCGAACTTTTTGCTCAACCTAGAATATATCAGAATAAATTGTATTAAGTGAATGAAAGATTCAATAACAGTCAAAATTAATTATTCTAATAATGAAAATTTATTTTTAACAATTAATGAAGAAGATTGTCACCAATTTGATACCGATAAATGAAAAGTTTTGTTTTCGTTACATATATGGAAAGGAGAAACAGTGAAAAGAACATGACAAAATTTTTAATAATTCATAACGTGGATATACAGTTTTTTTAAAGTAGAAACTACAAAATGTTTTTTCAACAAAAAAACGATTTTTGCAAAAAAAAACCGAAAATTTTCCAAAAGTGAGAGTGTGCATCAGATATGGGCACGGTTTGGATTCTTCAAAAGGATATGGTCAGAAATAAAAGATTCTTCCTCATTCTGGAAACATTATAAAATGAAAGTACTTTATTAATGTATAACTGATTTGATATTGGTTTATTAAGATGTTGTCCGTTTTCTGGAGAAAATCTTGAGAAATGTCAGAAATTTTTAATATAATGCTGTAGTCCCCCTCAGGGACTCCGAAAAATTTATTTTCGAATTTTGACTTGAAACTTTTTACAGAGATAGATCTTAGCAAGAGTAGTTTGTTCTGAAAGTTTCAGATCTTTTTGTTAATTCTATCGTAAAATACAACTATGGTAAAAGTGTGTTTTACACTGCTCATCAATGCGGACAGTGACGAAGTTCATATTTTAGGGTGGGTGGGGGTGTGGGTGTTGGGTGGATGTCTTCTAATTTAACCACACCCATAATCACAACCCACACACACACCCCACACCCATACCCACACCAGCCACCCACACCCACACTCACACCCACCCACACCCACACCCACCCACACCCACACTCTATATCAGAAGGTTTTCTGTAGGAATGATGACTTTGGTGTGAGAGTAAATCATCCGGTAGATATTTACTTAATTAGAAAAGTGCTACTTTAGTCGATGCATTTAATTGAAACTATGCATAGTTTCCAAAGACGTATCTATAAATTCATGAGTTTTAATTATTATTTATTTTTAATTTATTCGTTTGAATAAAGAAATATTTATGTGGTATTAACTGTAATTTAACGATTATTATATAAATACTTCTTCTCCTTAAAGAATACACGTGCTTGTTTATATTCCGTTTAAATTCGAAGAAAAGAACATAAGAAAATACATGGCTACCTTCATGGTTACTAATTATATCTTTTCAATTAATTTTTCTATCATTATACATGAAAATACTAATTTCAACTAAATCAATTTAACTAAGAATCGAACCATACCCATCTTCGGTACGCATTTCTCTTTATCCTACGAACGGCACGTCTCTGATTTCCACTCCATTCAACACATAGACTTCATCTAAAAACAATCACTTCAATCTACTAGATTTACATATCTTTTAAGCATCGATCTGTCGAAAATAAATGGCAGGCCCAGAAGAAACTATTGGGTTGATGCAAAAGTCTTCGCCCATTTTTTTATAAATCTTTTAAATCCATTTGTGAATATTATTTATGTCTGTCTTTTATATATATCATAATACGTGATGAGTACTATAAAACGGCATTAACAAATATTCTCAACTATAAATATTTTAGATTAAAAAATGTCTGAAATTCCTACTCATGTTCGACACTGTATGTTGTATGAGTTTCAACTCGGCAACAATGCAAGCGCCGCTGCTCGCAATATCTGTGCTGCTCTTGGGGAAGGTACAGTTACTGATCGCACATGCCGTGATTGGTTCAAAAGATTTCGAGGTGATATATCATTGGAAGATCATCCAAGGCCCGGACGTTCTCTCGAATGTGATGTGCAGCAATTGCAAGCACTGATAGAAGACAACACACGCCTAATCACTCGTGAGTTGTCGACCATTCTCAACTGCAACCAATCCACCATTGATCGTCACTTGCGTGAAATGAGGAAACTCAATAAACTTGGATCATGGGTTCCACACCAACTGACACCGGACAACATCCAACAGAGGATCAACATCTGCAACTCTTTATTATCAAAGCCCAATCAATACAAGTTTCTCCAGCAAACCGTCACTGGTGACGAGAAGTGGGTTCTCTACGTTAACCACACACGCAAGCGTCAATGGGTCAATCGAGGAGAATTGCCGGAACCAGAGGCGAAAGCCGACCTGCATCCAAAAAAGGTGCTGTTGTCAATTTGGTGGGATTTTCAAGGCATAATCTACTACGAAGTTCTTCCTCCTAACACCACGATCGACTCCGAGCTATATTGCAAACAACTCCAAAATTTAAAGGTCGCTGTGCAAGCCAAACGTCCAGAACGACACAAAGTTCGCCTATTTCATGACAATGCTAGACCTCACGTTTCAAAGGTCACCACGCAGAAGCTGAACGAATTGGGCTGGGAGGTTTTACCACATCCACCGTATTCACCAGACCTGGCGCCATCAGATTATCATCTGTTCCGCTCGCTTCGCAATCATCTGTGCGAGAAACACTTCGACAATCAAGACTATATAAAATTGCACCTCGAAACTTTTTTTCAGTCTTTGTCTAAGAAATTCTTTGAGGAAGGTATTATGCATTTGCCTAAGAGATGGTAGTATGTCGTTGATAATAATGGTGCATATGTTGTTGATTGATGATCTTTTGCTTCAATAAAATTTTTAGCCCCCCCCCCCCCCCCCCTCAAAAATCGATCTCAGCCCAGGAAGGTTCAAATTGCATGAAATTTTCAGGACATGTTGGGGCTATAGTGGAGAAGCTATGGTACAATTTTCAGCCCGATATCATGACGTTTAAGGGAGATACTGACCAAACAAGGGTCAAACATAGCTCATTTGGCAAACCAAATTTCTCTGTCCAGGTTCATTCTACATAATTAATTTCTTTTTGGTTTAAAAGAGCATGTCAGGATGCAGCGCAGTACAGAGCCCTTTTTTTCAAATTCTTACTTTTTAGGGAAGAAAGGGGAATCACAAGTGCAATGACTCAAAAACCCTGAAAAAATGGGTGTAGAGTTATACAAGTGTCTGCATATATAATAAAGAAAAGCTTAATTGAAAACAAGGGCTCTGTACTGCACTGCATCCTGCCATGCTCTTTCCAACAGAAACAAAATAAAATAAATCGAATGAGCCTGGAAGGAGAAATTTGGATTGCGCGGTCAAAAAGGCTTAAACTGAGAAAAAACGAAAAACATTTTTTGAAAAAAAATTTTAGCATTTTTAGGCACTTTTTAATAGATTTGGAGAAAAACCTAGTCTATTTCTCATTTTTTGTTTTATGAATTTTGTTTTTTTCTATAACGATTAATAAAACTTCTTAAAACGTCTTTGCTTTCCATTAAAGTACTTATTTTCTATGCAAAAACCTCAAAATCCGTTTTTTCACGAAAACTCACGTTTTTCATGCAGCGGATTACAGACATCATCAGAATTTTCAGATAAAAAATGGATGTTGGATAAAAAAAACATATCATATCTGAAAGATCTGAAGACGGGCTATCTTCCCATGCATTTATCTCAATTTCGAAATTTCTAACGAAAAATGACTTTTTTTGAGGGGGGGGGGAGGCCTTAATTATCTATATGATTCATTATCTACAATCAGCTGTGGCTACAGCTGTTTGACATATGAAGAAAGATAGTGGTGCCTAACTTTTCTCTTCATTTTCGTTTTAATTATCTCAAAATGAAAAAAATACAAAGTCCTCAAAAATTTGTTATTTTTGGAAGCGATTTGTGAGAAACCCGAAAGTGTTTTGGAGATAAACTCAAAAGATATTATCGGTTCGATCTCGATACTAGGGTCTCGCATTTCAACAACTACTTTCCAAGTTTTAGTTGTCGAGATCATCGCGTCAAAAAATGACAAGTTTTGATGCGTACGTCAACTAAGCATAAAAGAAAATTGCCCATTTGTCTTTCCCTGGTTATGCTACTGTATATGGACCATTTTTAATATGAAATGTAAATTTCTCAGATATCTAGTACTTCTAAATGAGCTCGGTTGAAGTTAAAATATTGAAAAACTTGTCTTGTTTGCTTTGAATTACCTAATAGGAGTATCAGATGAGCATTTGCATTTTCTGACAGTAATACTAATTTTGATATTACAATTAGAAAAAGTTTTACTGGTAGTGTTCTTGTGATCATTCTCATCAATCTTAACATAAATTAATCTAATTTCATCCACACATTAAACAAATGTCTGAATAAATTAATGATTGAAAAAAGAATTAGATCAAACATAAGATATAATCGACAAAACTCGTATAGTGTCGCATTACAATATTTTCAAATAGCTCCAGTCATTGTCAAAAATTTTATTCGCATTCTAATTCTTTCCATTCAATTGACAGACTTGATAAGATTTGCAGCATATACCAGGACTTATTGGGATTTTTCAGTACGTCCATATATATTTGATATAAATCTCAAACAATTCTTCGGTACATGCGTGCACATCTATAGTGTGTATGCGCAGAGATACTAACACACTCGATAAATCCCAATAAATCACGGGATACCTTTCATTTCAACAAGCTTTTAGATACTTAAAATGATTTTAGAACAATTTGGTATTTTAAGTAGGGATATACAGTTCACACTTACAATAAATGTGAACAGAAACTGTTAGCCGATGTTAATTGTGATTGTGAGAGAAAATCATCCTTTCGTACTAATGATGACTATATGTGAAAACCGTTCCTTCACAATAACTGTACTTATTAACTTTAAAACCTGAATCTCACTCGCTTCCTTTATTTAACGATGATTATGAGCTGTACAACCTAATTTTAAGATAAAAACCTCTATTGTTTTCCTTTCGAAATATTTCTTTCAATTTATCATAAGTTCATTTATTCATTCATTATAAAGTCTCTATAAATCAGTGGCGGATCCAGGAATTTTTTGACAGGAGGCAATTTTGGTCAGAAGGCATAGTTCTAACCTCGTTCAAGGCACCAACAACTCTGTTTTGGATCTTTTCTACTGGAAAAAATCGAACATTTTTTTTATGAACAGGGGGCGATCCTCTTTCTATAAATCATTGCGAAAATATTTAAAAAAATAATATTTACCTGTATAAATTGTGATATGACAAACCTTAGGACACAATTTATTGAATTGTTCGAAAAATGCATAAACGGATGGATCAATACTGATTCGAATATGCTCGAGATCTGACAAATCATATGATATACAATGATAATTACTAAATAAACAAGAGTAATTCAATGAAAAAATTTAAAAAGCAAAAAAAAAAGTATTTTACAATAAATGATCAAAGCATTGATATTTATCAAGAATAGAAGAAAATATATGTTGATATGATGCACCTTCATTATAAAAACATTTCACATTTGTCCATTGATGGGAAATAAAAAAAGAGTTAATTTTAAAAGAATTTATTATTTTTTCAATATCATATGATGATAATTGACAATTTGCACGAATATAAAAACGAAAATCTTCTAAATTAACTATTTGATCAGGTAAACAATATTGGCGAATAAAATTTGCATCAATTAAAGATTTCCATATCATTTGATCTGATCTCCATACAACTCTACTACATAAATCAATTTGAAGTTTTTTAACATAATTAATATTATTAAGAAGCCATTTTAAACAAACAAATTCTAAGTCATCGACAACAGCACTCTTCAATATAAAATATTCTAATTTTGGTACCTATTTTTCAAACAATCAATCACAATTTTAAAAATTATAAATTTATATCAATAGGAAAGTAATAACTCGAAATAATCAATCTACATAAGTTCCAATTTTCCAAAAATAGTGACCATTATCACCTTCTACATACTCCTATTTTCTGCTCATTTTCTTAACGAAATTTTTCATATGAACAGTACGAACATAGTAAATCACAAAAAAAAGCATTATCACGAATTTTATTATTAACATAAAATCCATAGCTTTACAAGTGCATTACTTTTAAACAGCAAAAAAAATCAATATTATCATCAAACATATTGATTTGAATGAAAAAATTACCAATATAGACTTCAACAATCTAACATATATAATTTGAATATTGACTGTTCATCGTTCTTAAACTATGTTATACAACAATATAATCTAACTATCTTATATATTATAGTTCAAGCGAGAAAGTGTAATTCGACTCTCACTTAATCAGTAATGGGTGCGGCAGAAATAATTGCCGGCTTTTGTATTTTATTTTTTCATCATCTACTATGTTTTATTTAAAAACAAAATATACCACAAGATAGAGCGTGAAAAGCTCTACAACTTACATAAGACCACTTATTTTATAGTTTCAATTTTTGTTTTCAAAGTGAACAAAGTTTTGAGTGAGCAAATATCGACGCTGCTCAAAGATCATTTATTCTTATCTCATGTTATCTTATCTTTTTATCATCTAATATGCCTTACATAAAAAACCAAAATATACCAAGAGATGCAGCGTGTAAAGCTCTACAATCTACAAAGTAAAACTTATTTTAATTGTGTTGCTTTTGTTCTCAAAAAAATCAAAATTCTATGCGACCAATTTTCGACACTGCTCAAAGATTATTTTTTTCCAACAGGAACAAGAAATAATCTTTTTTTGTTTTGTCTTTTTATCAACTAATTTTTTTTCGTAAAAAAAAAACAAAATATACCACAAGATACAGCATGCAAAGCTCTACAATTTACAAAGAACAGTTTATTTAAATAAGAAAAAAAGAATTTCTCTTTCAAGTCGAAAGAATGAATTTTTCGCAATGCCAAATATTGGTCGCACAGAATTTTGCTTTTTTTTTTTTTGAGAACAAAAACAACACAATTAAAATAAGTTTTACTTTGTAGATTGTAGAGCTTTACACGCTGCATCTCCTGGTATATTTTATTTTTTTTAACGAAAACATATTAGTTGATAAAGAGACGAAATGGAAAAAAAATTATTTCTTGTTCTCGTGGGAAACGGTGATCTTTGAGCAGCATCGAAATTTGCTCACTCAAAACTTTGTTCACTTTGAAAACAAAAATTGAAACTATAAAATAAGTGGTCTTATGTAAGTTGTAGAGCTTTTCACGCTCTATCTTGTGGCATATTTTGTTTTTAAATAAAACATACTAGATGATGAAAAAATAAAATATAAAAGCCGGCAATTATTTCTGCCGCACCCGTTATTTTATTACTAGAGGTTTAACAGTACTACAGGCTTCGATTGAAGTAGTTGAATTATCTATATTTTTCTTACTAATTGCATCTCCACAATCGCAAATTGATCAAAATATACGACAACTCAAGTGAACAACATTATTAACTAATCCATAAATGAAATACGAAAACATATTATCATAATCTATTTAAACTAAGCACTCATGGAACTTTGTCAAAGATTCATTTGGCATTCATACAATCCCAAACATTTTATGAACATTTTCGAAAATTTCTCACTTATACTTTCTCATACTATTTCTTATTGACAGAATAATTCCGCGATAACTACTCAATATTCAATTTCATATTCGAATTCAATGTTGAAATTTAATGAATTCTAGTAAATTTCAATAGTTTTATTGATTCATCGTAGGATTTATCAATAATTCATCTACTACGTAGCCAAATAGGAGGCGCCCATCCGAAAAATGAAGCCTACATAATACGCTGAGGTTTTAGTCGAATTTGCTCAGATTCGCATTATTTTCCTTCACTTGAATATGGAAATATCATATAAGCTTTAAACAAAAGAAAAAGAATCGTATTCCTTATTTTATCGTCGTCTGCTGATCACATTTTCTGACATTTTTCTCATATCTTTACTAATTTTTCTTGTGCCTTATTTTTTAATTAGATAGAAGTTCTATTTACTTTTTCCGATATGTATTGCAAGATAAGTATTATACGATTGTTGTTTCTATCTTGTGTATCTCATTTACCAATAACATACTTTCACTATTATTTATTTCTGTGCAACAGTTGATATCTACTTTTGCTTTAAAATAATAATCGATACTAAAAAGTGATTATATCTATGACAAGTATAAAAATATTAATTTACAAGATCAGTACTAACAAATTTCTTACACATGACACATGCCAACAAGTAACATTCAATTATCTAATTCAAAGTCTGATGTATTATATTTAAAATAACAAAATCTAAACATTAAAATAGAATACGACGCGAATACTCTTTAAATGGATGAAAATTTCGTTTTATTCTTATTAGATACAATGAATTTCCAGAATGTTTTTCTCATTTATGTTATTCTAAATCCATAAATGAAAAATTCTTTTCTTAACAATTTCGATAAAATAATAGAAATATTCTTTTCTGAATTTGTGACAATCTTCTTCATTTATGTATTTAAAGTGGCATTGTGTAAAAATCCCGAAAAAAGAAATCTCAAAAAAGATCGACAGAACAAATAACGCCGAAAATAAAAATTGTGAAAAATCAAAATCTCGAAAATTTGAAATTTGAAAAAATCTGCATTAGGAAATGGAAGATGAGGATGAGTGTAAGAATGAGACTGAAGGCGAGAGTGATGTGAGAGTAATGATGAAAGTATGAGGGTGAGGAGAAGGATGGATGGATGGACATGTCAAAAGTCTAAATTTTTATTTTCGATATTATTTTTGGGATTTTGTTTTTTCGATATTTTGCGTTTTAGGATTTTTTTTCGGCTTTTTTTTATTTCGAGCTCTTTGTTTTCGAAGTTTTTACAGCAACTCAAAAAATAAGATTTATCAAAAGATTTATTCATACGACTTCCGGATAAAATAATATCTTACTTTATTAAACCAATTTTCCTTTGATAAGGTGAATGTTTGAATGTTTGAGTCAAAAGAAACATTGGTCAATGAGCTTCGTAAATAAACTGATATTTGTTCAATATTCGGAATATGATCAATGAGATGTTCGAGGAAAAAAATATTATTAAGATGGATGTACAAACGATGTAAAGTCAAACAAAATAATTGATGTTGATTATGAATTGTGTTTGATTGAAAATCAGAATTGGAATTTAAACATTGATCGATATTGTCAAACGATCTGATTATATCCAGTTCCAAAGAAGTTAACTTACATTGATTAGAAAATATTCGACATAATAGATGTTTAAACATATTGGGCATTGTCTCTGTTTAATAATAATAAAAACCATATTTAGTTTTATAATAAATATTTCATATAAAATTCTTTTTTTCCATCAAATACATTTTATTCTCTTTTTAGGCGGGTTACTGGAATTTCACCAATAAAATTTTCGCCAATAGGACATTTGCAAATGGCAAAAGTCCAGGAATATATCGAAGAAAGTTCACTGTGCTTTCGTCAAGTATTGAATTTCCAGTGGATGCTTTGGCAAAAGTACAGCAGACTTTAGCCAATTGCTACAAAACAATATTAACATAGGATGTATGTGAGTTTAATTCATAATACAATTGGCGAAATTCCACGAGAGATGTTGGTGAAAGTACAGTAAACTTTCGCCAACTGGCGATATTCCAATGGGTGTATTGATGAAAGTATAGTGGAGTTTCGCCACTGTCGAAAGTGCTATTTGACGAAAATCTTATTGGCGAAGATCCGAAATCCTTTTTAAGCACTAACATTCTGATTTTTGTTTTCAGTCACGAACTAATACGAGAATTTAACAATATATTATTAATACCTTTTCGAATATAAAAGATGTTACGATTTTCTATGAATATAATATTCGGTCGTTAACAAATTTTAATTTATTTTTCGAATTTGAAAAATAATGAACTAAATAAACATGCATAATTCTATTATATAGAGAAGCCTAGATTCTACATTTATTGAATTTGTCTTTTTATATTGTGAATATTAATATTATTGAAACCTTATTATTTGAAATTCTCCTCCGAATATATGAACATATTTACAATATATTTAAAAAAATTAATGCAAAAAATATTTTTCGCGCTAAATTCAAATTAATCGGAAAATTAATTATCTTTGTCTTACTCATATTGATTAGAATCTATTTTTCACCATTTTGAAAATGATTCCTCTATTTATTGATCAGTAAACTTAATCTAGTCACTAAAATATTTCATAGTAATATTAATCCCTAAAGAACCTGTAATCGTGATTGATTTTTCATTTTATTTTTCGATGCTCTACCAACAAAAGTGAGTTCACCATAAAACAATTTATTTGTTTAAAATTTACATTATTTGCTATTGGCAAAGTTGATAATCAATGTCTTATGCGAGTAATTTACTTTTAATTTAGCCAATTCCATTTTGGATAGGATAAAAAAATAGTTTCCAAAAAGATCTAAACTTGTCTTTCGCTCGAACCCTTTGCGTCCTCATCTAAAAATTTCCCGTTGAATAGGTCCGCATCTTAAGAATTTTGTCTGAACTAATTCGGGATACTAGTTCACAAACAATACATTGAAACAAAAAGTCAATCACAACTGGATTCTTATAAGATCATTATCAAGAATGATTGAAAAAACTTCAAAGTGTGTTTCTGACCAACTATCTAATATGAAGTGAAAACTTTATTGAGTATCACGAGTAGAATTCGAGACTAGTTCGAATCGAAAATTTTTGAACTGTATGAGCTCCATCTTGAACTATCATATCGAATAAGATATATCTGTAAATTTATGGCTTATCCTTGGCTTTATATCTTTACACTAAATAAAGTTTAACTTCTCATGTTAAAATATGTTTTTGTTAAGAAACATTTTCATATAAATTGTTGATTATCTTGATCAGAACTGTTTGATGGGGCTTCTTTTCTATAATCAGATGTCGTATAGTTACCTTCATGAAATGTTAATGTAAGATGTTCTAATTTCAATTGAATAAGAAAACATAACAGTTGAATTAATGGTTGAGATAATAAGCATTGACTAATATAAAGTGATTTAAGATTAGGAAAGCAAACAATTGGTTTATTATCATGGTAAAAAATATTTTCATAAATAGAATCAAAAGAAAATGAATTAATTCCATCAAAATGAATGGATTTAATAGATGATAAAAGTGATGACGCATTTAATATCAATGATAAAGTTTTCGAAAACTTTTTATAAGATAAACCTGGCTTATTTAAAATAATTCCTTTTTTATTACTTATTGAAAACATTGAACAAATAAGAGAATTAATACGTTTATTTAATGACCAAAATGATATTAAGATTTCATCCCATGATAAATAAAAGAATACATTCAAAAGTGTTTCATTCGGAAGTATTTCCAATTTACTTATCATATTATCTAAAAAAAATAATAACCACTATTTACTAGATAAATATAAAACAATATGTTCTCCAAACTTTTTTTATGCTTATTTCTAATATTTAATCAATCTTAAAATCCAAAAACCTAAACGAAATAAGAGAAATTTTAATCAATGCTCTCTATAGTATAACCACGTCAAAAGTTCATAACTCACGTATACATATAAAAAGCTCGTTAGCGCAGCTCCAAAGGAGCTAAAATATGGAACTGACGTATATCTTTGAAACTTGTTATTCTGATGCCTAACTTTTACACTTCGAAATAGCGTTTTTTCGAGTATTCATGAAAGCACTGATATATTATATAGAATCTAAAGCCTTCTATGCGTGGTTGCTAAGGTCTGTAATGGTGGGGTGTCTGTAATGGGGGGTATGTCTGTAATGTTCTCTTTCCCGTTACTATGTGTCTGTAATGGGGAGGGGGGAGGAGCTGCAGAACCTCGAAATGAAAACTTATACTCACTATTTTCTTCGAAAATATACGTGAGTTCCACAAAACATTTGCATGAAAATATGAAGAACCTTTTATCAGATGTGTTAGAATTGCTCTTTTCTAACATTATAACAACTAATACCAAGCACGACTATCGAACAATCATCCGAATCAAAAATTTTATTCAAAGATTTTTCCTCATATGATAATATTAGCGGAAAAATTTCTATTTCCAGCTTCTACGAAATGGATCAACGACGAATCTAAAACATTAGAAAAGACAAGTTGTCATACAGGCATATGTTTTTTTGTACACCTATTCAACGGAATGTTAATCTTTTTGCTGAAATATATCGACAAACAAAACAAATATCTTCAGCTGTGTGTAAATATTCGACAATGCTAAAAGAATATTCTGTTACTAGATATGTGCAGAATGGTTCAAGTCCTAGCGGGACCGGGACCAAAAAAGGCTGATCCCGCTCATGTCTAACTGTTACTATAATAAATTCAAAGTGTTATCATTTTAAATGATATATTTATAGTAAAGATCTTCAATATATACTAGATTGAAAATATTGGATTAAAATATCAGATAGTCAAACTTACCATTAAATTATTAATTGAATTATGCAAATAAAAATAAATACGTGTTTGATAGCAATAAAATTTGAATTAGCTTGAAGTTATCAAGCTAAATTAAGAGAAAATATTTTCAATGAAAAGTATTTAAATAAAAAGTGAACTTTTTTTATACAAAAAAAATGACAATAACAGACCTTTTAGTATGTACGCTCAGCCCGATGACTCATCAAATCAATATCAAATAATGCACTTTGGGGGCGCCACATGTCTAGACTCATTTTTGGAAGATACTATTAACACAGTACATTCTCGTACTAGGTCTATAAAAAGTGGTGAAGACCATTTCTCTAGCCCAAGAACGGTCTTTAAGATATCTGCCTAACAAAATATGATATCCTATGGCAACGAAATGCACTTACTGGAACTTCGTAAGTAGAGAGAATCGAGTTCTGTGGCACTTTCCAATCAATTCAGCGTATCGACTAATAATGGAAGAGCTCGATTTGACTAAAAAATTGAGAAACTCAAACAAAATTTTTGACCATGCCGTCTCAATAATAACGTCATTATAAATGATCTGTGTTAGGATTGGTCAGAGTACTTTGATGATTTCATGGCACTGCCTCTTTTTTTTTTAAACTAAATATACAGTTCGCTAGAGAAAAATTTTCTCTATCTACTGATACCAATGTTATAACTAGCCCCTTCCAAAAAAAAACAACCAATCATAGAGCATTTGCTATTGTTTCACATATTTGAGCTGTTTTTTTTGACTGAGCGTCCATGCTATTTTGGTATATGTTAAGAAGAAGCACACCCTCAATATATGTATATATAGAAAGAAAGAAAGAAAGCAAAATTTATTAGCTAAGGGTGTGGGGTGTGGCTGTGGCTGTGGGTGTGGGGTGTGGCTGTGGCTGTGGGTGTCGGTGTGGGGTGTGAGTGGGTGTTGTCTTCTTCTCACCTGCAACCACTCCCACGCCATACCCATACACCCACCCCACATTCACACCCACACCCACCCCATACCCACACTCACATCCACACCCCACACCTACACGCCCATACCCACACACTCACCCCACACACCCACACCCACACCCTCACTTTAGCTCGAACTCTTCTCAGTATTTCTACCGATGCTTGATGGACGAGCAATAGCTTTACCGTTGCTGGAGGTAATGATCCAGGAAATGTATTGAACCAGGTCAATCATCCTCGAGGTATCGATGTAGATGAAGATGGAACTCTCTATATTGCTGACTTCTTAAATCATCGTATCGTAGAATGGAAATATAACGAAAAAAGTGGTCAAGTAGTCGCTGGTGAAAAAGGACAAGGATATCAGCTAGATCAGCTGAGTTATCGAACAGATGTAATCATTGACAAGAAAACAGAGAGTCTTTTCATTGGCGATTATGGGAATCGACGATTGATGCGATGGACTTGCCAAAATAGTACAACATTCGGCGAAATAATGATTGACAATATAGATTGTAGAGGATTGGCAATGGATGATCAGGAATTTGTCTACGTTTCTGACACAGAAATGAGTCAAGTTAGGCGATATTGGATATAAGATATGCAAAAAATAATCAATAGTAGCTGGTGGCAATGGACAAGGATATGGTCTCAATCAACTTAACATTCCTCTTTACATCTCTGTTGATAAAAATTAGTCAGTCTATGTGTCAGATACTGATAATAATCGTGTTATAAAATGGTTAGAGGCTACAACAGAAGGAATCCTTGTAGCTGGTGGTCAAGGTTCGGGAAATGATATAACACAATTGTCACATCCTCTTGGCGTGGTTGTTGATGCTTTGGGCACCGTCTATATAGCAGATTGTATAAATAACCGAGTGATGCGTTGGATTAACGGAGCTTCACGTGGAGATATAATCGCTGGTGCAAACGTTGAAGGAACAGAAGCAAATCAATTCCATTATCCTATTGGCTTATCATTCGATTGACATGGTAATCTTTATGGATTCGATGAACGAAATCACCGGGTGCAACAATTCAAAATTGAACATAATTAATTATTGTAATGAAACAATTTTGTCATCGTCGTAACTAAATACATTTTAAACAGTACATTCTTCTCAAGTTAGGATAAATGAAATATGCTTGTATTCGATTAATTGATGGATGGCAAATAGACATGGGTGTGGTTGTGGATCTGAGCATGACAAAGTATAAGACTAATCTAAACCCGTATATTCCAACTACCATATATACTCGTATCCACAGCCATACCTAAATATGATTTGACATGAACGAAGTTGAATAACAAATTTTTAATCATAAATGCTCAAAATTTCAATTTTTCTGAGGTAAAATGGAAGGTATTTGATTGAGATAAGCTGTCCACCATTTATCTGTATAAATATGCCGAAGTTTGACAGAAAAACGAATCAGAAAAAAAAAATAAAACCAAAATATGACTTTTTATCCTTTTTTGGACCTAGTCGAAAAAGACGCATAAAAACCGACTTAAAACCATTATTTCTGTTAAAAAAAAGTGAAATTTCGACATGTCTGTCTTTCCAGAAATAAGACAGAAACAAATGATATGTTTTTTTAAATAATTCATTAGTAGAAAATATTTCAACATGAAAGATAAACGACGAAAAATTGAAAATTAGAAATATTTAGATATCAATTTAATTAATGATGAACACTCCGTAACAAGCCCGTATATTTTGTGATATATCTATTAAAAATTAGTTTGAAAAATTGTCATTTTATCTAATCTCTGCTTGTGTTGCTAATTTTGACTATCCTATAGCTATCAGCAGCTTGCATCATTCTCAATCTAGTATTGCTCATCAACATATTAGATATGCTTTACATGAATCAACTAATATTGATAATTATTAAAAAGATAATAAAAAATGTACAACAAAAAAGCTCGAGAATAAATCATCTTATCTCAAATGTCTTAAAATAGCGACATTAGCTGTGTTAAACCAATCAAAAATCCTTTCAGTCTTTGTGCACACTGTTTCAAATAAGACATTTCAAATATGAGAATGTTTTCGAATCGATATGAATAAGCAGTCACACGACATATTACTATTCGATAAAAGTTGGAATTTGGGGTCAACAAAAGAATTTCAATAACTTATTTTGGCAACTTGAGGTTTGAGTTCGATGAAAAAAATCTGATTGAATTCAAGATCAAAGTTATCAAAGAAGTCATGAGATCTCTTTTCGTTATAAAACCAACTGTTCAAGGCTACAATGGTATGGGAGATTTTTTCATTCACACTCACATCTATACACCAACATCTACACACCAACACCCATACCCGTACCCCACATCTACACTCACCAATGTCACACCACATCTGCTATCGTTTGCTGGATTTATTCACGCTGAAAAACATCATTTACTCGGTATATTGATATTTTTTTTCTATACTCTTTCCTTTTGGTGTTAGGTACAGGCCCAGACTCACACATCCACCCTCGCCTATCAATAGCAAAAAGATAATATTAATCTTGATTGACAACATTTCAAGGTAATCCGAAAATAATTGATATGAGGTAGATTTTTGTAGAACAAAGACTAAGATGTCAAAAATTCTTCTCTCGACACACAGGTCATGGTATATAAAACGACTAGCTAGTCATAACCTGTATGTATGTGTGGGAAGGACAGTTCGTTTTTCTTCTTATACTCTTTAACAGTCATTACTGATCACGATGCACAATAGTAATAATAATTCGATTGGTATACTCTTTACTGTATGTATTGAATTAATTTTTATGGCTGCCATTGCATTTTAACTAACAATACATCCTATCAATAATCACGAAGTTGGCTTCTGGCATTCAAATTATAGAAACAGAAACAATATTTTATTTAATTTCCAATAGACAAAACAATGCATTGTTTCATCTATTGAATCAACAAGTCGAATACAAGTTTCATTAAAAAAAAACGGCCGTATTCAGAATTTAAGGCAACAGTAATGATTGGGCGTTATTAATTTCATATTTTCTGTTTCACTTTGTTTCGTAAAAATATCAGGCAGAAGATTGATTTTGATTGAAACAATGTAGTGCTTCGCTTCTTATGATGAGATCATGAGCGACTTGCCCACGGACAAAACTATAGAAGTAGTATATAAATAAAGCATTTACATACTAACTAAATTAGTTATATTTCTTCACAATCGAATGAATCAAGCAAGTGTCATGCAACTGTCAAGAATCTCACCGTTACCCTATCACCCAAAAACCATGGAACACTATTCAACAGGAGATCTTCGATGGAATAACCGTGCTAGGTCTTCTCGTCCTTATCTTTCATGCGTTTGTCTTCCTCTGAAACTGAACAATAATACTAATTCGCATCCTAATATTTAGGTACCAAGGATTTCCATCAATCAACAACATAATCGGAAACTCCCCAAAATCGAAGATAAATTCATGAAAATAGGCAAGTCACAACAAGCAACAATTAGTGGTAGCCAGTAAGTTTCACATTTATACAAAGTTTTGCATGACGAATCTCGTTTCGTATTAATCATGTGTTCAACTATTTTGAATACATACATTGTGGTTCTTTATCTTAGCCGTGAAAAGATAGTGCGATTTTTGTTTTTTGAATATATCAATTAGTCATAAATGAATCAACACATCTGTTAACAGTCGACTCTGATTGTCATGTCAAAATACAATGTGTATCCGATTGAGTTTGAAAAACGAACTCGAGTTGTGAGGTTAGGCGAGGATTTCATCATTCCTTGTGATCGTATATTGATCATGCTGAGACCTGATAGTGTCTGGGAAGTTTCGATCAATGAACTCGAATTTAAATTCTTCCAATTCAGTGACTATGAGTAGTACATCCATTTGACAGAGTTCTCCTGTTGGGTGAACGATAATAGTGACACATAAGCGAAAATATCAGGACAGTGTCGTACCGACAGGAAGAACGATGGCGTTCAAGCAGCCACGTTACTCTAGTGTCTCCAGAAAAACAACATAAGTTCTTATTGTAATTGAAACCAAACAGGCAGTCTTTCGTTACCAACGATTTATAAGTGATCAGTTAGAGTGGTGTACAGCAAGGAGGCAACCTTATGCTGGGATAACGGCTTGACACTTGAGATGTGGCTGTTGCTGCTTGCGATTGCATTCTCTTCTATCATACCCATATCCTGCTAGATAGTAACTTTCGATATTTTTTTCCGAAAGCCATAGTTTTAAATATGCATGCGCTCGCATAATGAAATGCATACTTACCTAGAAAAACTAACTTCAAACAGATTTTTGCTGCCATAATCGATTTTGGGTATAAATTAATAGCAGTTATCTCATATTTAGTACTATTTGCAAAGATACACGGCATTTCAACCAATACCAAGGTCACATTTGTTGTCAGACTTTAATTTTATTGACATTTTGTTGTGATCTGTGCATAAATGAAATATTTTCAACGAAACTTGACTAAGGGGTAATCAAAGTCAAGGAAATCAAATTTAGAGCTACTCATTGATTTTTTAATGCTTCTAAATTAAAAGAAAATACTTGATTTGTAACGTACTCCACATGTGTATTACGGCACATCTACTACTCTTTGCTAACAAATAGGTATGGATCTCATCATTCTCAACGCACATCTTAAATTTTTATCGAAAGCGTTGGGAAGTACAGTTGCCAAGAGATTTGAATTAAAATTGTATTGAGGAAGTCTCTTACAACTCGAGTTTAAGCACAATCGAACTGTTCTGATGCATTTAAAAAGAAATTTAGATTTATCCATGGAAGACTGAACGATGTGACATGCCACAATCATAGCTCGCAAGAGACACAGACGAAATAAACACTTTGACGATGAAGTTAGTTTCTGCAAGCCATATTTGATTACTAGTGTCATCGGCTTGTCGTCATGAGGGGCATGAATTGATAATTCCCATCGTGAATATACCTGGACTCATACATCATAAGAGCTCATGCATATGAAGCTCATATTATACTGTAAATGACAGTCAATTGAGAAAGTCTGAGTTTCTCATGATTCAAATTGAAAGTTTTCAATTTTTTGGAGTCCATTTTTGTCAAGTTAATTGCCAGCGTTTCATTGATGGATACAAATTTTATTACTTCACTTTTCATTGCAGGAATCGATTCCGTCGAATTTGTTTCCTGTTCACTATATCGGTGCTGCTGATTCTCTTATTAGCTGCAATGATTGTTGTCATCGTTGTTGTTAGACAAGGTGCGTGTCTTGATTTATTGTTCTTTTATGATATTCACATCTATATTTGAAAAAAATAGTGAATGTAAGTTTTAAGTCGAACTTTTCCAGCTCTCCTTCCATGTTCCATTACAGATCTTAACAACAGGAATTAAAAATCATTTTTTCTTATACGGAGAATGCGAGTTTCATATTTCAGTTCCAAATGAGCTGCGCTAACAAGCTCTTTTACTAATATTGTTTTTTGTTCTGTTGACTATGAATGGTAATCATCGTAGTATCGATGATGACTATCAAAGATGCTTTAGTAGAGAAAAAAAACCATATTGACCCTTCTCCAAACATCTTTTTCTTTCAAAAGAAAAAAATTAACAGTAAACAAATAATAATACTAATTCATTTTTATGCTAAATTTAATTTTCTTTTGTTTATGCAAAGCAAATACATGTCAATCAAAATTAAAAAAATATTCATACAACTTCGAGTATTGTTTCACTGAGATATTTCATTTCAATCACACAATATAGCCAACGAAACAAATGTATTGCGTACACGTGTAGAGATGTTTAATTTCACAAGGAGATGAGTGGAAGTTATATAATCTGTAATAGGATCTTCAATATATCATTAAATGAATTTTTGTAGGCCGTACCGCATCGGAGACATCATCGAGCAGTACAATCATCAGCAATGTGACGATCTCTTGGGTAACGAGTGCACCGACAACAAATACGACCTCTTCAACAGTCAGCACTGCTACCACATCAACTACTAGCACTACAAGTGAGTTTTCAATCTATTCACAGCGATGCCCCATATCTTGAATATTGGGGATACTGATAAAGTACAGATATATGCGGAAGATGACAAAAAACAAGTAGACAGATTATTTTATCGTAGTACACATATTCATACATTTCTCACATCTCTTTAAGAAGATAAATCTCTCGCAGGAATTCTAGGTTAAAAATCGAAAAAACAATTTCATCGGGAGATACCGAATCTCTCCGAGAAAAGTCTTTGCATATACGTATTAGACAGTGCAAATGACTCACCGAATGTGTGCATAGTGTAAGTTGTCTGCCATATCTGGTGGACAGTATAGAATATCTCTTCGTTTTCATGGTTAGTTAAGTATAAGAAAAATTTTAAAAAGCTTTCTAAAATCGAAAAAAGAAGCATGTGTTCGCTCGTAGACATTCGTAAGAAATGACGCCGATATGAGAATAAAAACTTTCGATAAAAATGGGTATTTTCGCAAATTTGTCAACAATGTCTGCCAAAAAAGTATTAATCTCTCTCGCTCTCAAAACAATCGAGTGTCTTGGGTATGCGGTATCTGCCGTATGGGTCCAAGCCTGAAAGTTAAGAGAAACTTTGTTCATTAGGAGGTGTTAGAACAGATATTTATATGCGCCTACAATAATGTAATAGTCTGTTAATAGGTACTTTTGCATCTCCTTGTATTTCTTCACCACTACTGATTTTCTGAATATGTAACACATCTCTTTGTTCAATATGATTTTGAATTAACCTTGAATCTGCGCAAAATACAGATGAGATACATGTGAAGTCGGCAGATGGAAAAAACCGTGTATTCATTCAAACTTAGAATAGAAAGTTTTTCTACTGTTCAATCGAACAAATAAAATTTCCCATATGATTTAAGGAAAATGATGATTGTAATGTTTATCACAAACAAAGACAACAACTAATGAGTAATTTTAGTATGACTTTTTCTCTCTTTCGTGCGGCTCTATACCAGACATAAATGTTGTTGGCGGCATACCCATGTATCTGATTTTGAGTGACTTTAATATTACGGTAATCATTTTTAACAAACAAGCAAAACTTTGTTGTCGGATTACAGAACGATTTGCAATCGACAGGTTTCGTTGCACTGCCAGAATGTTTGTTAAAATGTTTAACAACACGAAATGGAATGCTTTAAGAATGATTTTCATTTCCGATTTACTTATCAAATAATATCACTGTCCTCAGAAACGTACAAAAGTTTCTTCGACACCATTTGATGGGCTCTACGCTAATACTCAGTCCTACTCTCACAATAGTATCCAACTTCTATGGTATTGTCCTGAGTTTCGCTTTATAAACAATCAGAATATAAAAATGACATAATTTGTCAGAATGTGAACAGGCTTGTATCCTTAGTCTTCTACAATAATAGATCACACAGTGACATTGTGTAGTATCATATTGCTTTTGCAGCTACCACCATTTCATTTTGTTGGAATTCAACGGCTATAACTGTGGCCGGTATGACTGCTGTGCCAGATACAACTGCTGATCGTTTTGATCGTCCTTTTGGTATCGCATTGGATTCATCAAATGCACTTTATATTTCTGATCAAAATAATAATAGAGTTCAGAAATGGTTAGCTGGCGCGTCTACTGGTACGACAGTGGCTGGTCAAGGAAGTGCAGTGGCGGGTACGGCTTTAGATAGTTTAGATACGCCCAGTGGTGTTCTACTCGATTCAAGCGGCAACATCTATGTGGCTGATACCAATAACTTTCGAGTTCAATATTGGCCTCAAAGTGCATCTTCAGGCACCACGGTTGCCGGTATTACAGGTAGGATGACAAAACAATCTAACAAAAATATTCATGGGATGAGAACTGTTTTGCAATGCTTTAGAATTTGAAACCAAGAGCTTTCTCCAAAAACGTCGTCAAAATCAGTGTCAAATCTTTGTGTACTTTTTTGCAACCAAAAATTCAAAGTCATAAAAATTTGACAAAATCTTTAAATGGATATTAGATTCGAGCTATTCTGTCATACTATGTGACGATGAAATATGGGTTTTTGTCATGAACGTTTTATTTCTTTTTCTTTTTTTGGTTTTACTAGCATGCACGTTTGTTATAGGTTCGCCTGGCTCAGGAAACAATGAACTAATGAATCCGTATGGTATTGTACGAGATTCAAGTTCGGGCACATTGTACATAGCAGATCAAAGCAATCATCGAGTGATGAGTTATTTATCAGGCGCATCATCAGGAACTGTAGCAGCTGGAGGCAATGGTCGAGGAACAAGTAACACACAGCTAAATTATCCAGTAGGTATCTATTTCGATGCATCGTCGAACAGCCTCATTATTGCGAATACTGGTGCTAATAATATCGTTCGTTGGGTATTGGGTGCTAGTAGTTGGACATTGATCGCCGGCAGCATAAGCGGAGCGAGTGGTACCACCGCAACATTACTCAACTATCCAGTAGGTGTGACACTAGATTCCATGGGCAATATATACGTAGCCGATAGAAACAATCATCGGATCCAATTTTTCTTGGCTGGTCAGTCCACTGGAAGAACGATTGCTGGTGTCACGAATACAAGTGGAAATAGCGCCACCTTACTTTATAATCCTTATTCAATAGGACTTGATGCTCAACTCAATTTGTACGTAGCAGATACATATAATCATCGAATACAAACATTCAAACGTTGTTAAACAAATCATTTCTCAATCGTTTTCATTTTCTGATACATGACTTATTATTTTATGGATCAAATCAAAGCAAAAGGACACAATGATATACGTCATATTACAATAATCTAGAGATTTTAGTTAGATACTCAGCTCATCAACACCCAAAGATAGGTACATCCCACATCCCATTTTCATTGTAATTCTTTAGAGTTTTTTTTCTAAACGAAACTAATGGAAAATAAAGAAAATAAATTTCAAAGTTGATGTTTTCATTCTATAAAAGTTTGAAACTTCATTATCCTTGGCCATTATGGATTTTCATTAGAATAAATAGTTTTTATATAATTGAAAAAGAAAAACTAAAAAAAAAAATCTTTTTTTAACTACTTCAACTTCAAATTTGACTAGAATTTTTTTTGTTCTAATATTCTTAGTGAATGACTGTTCACTAAATGTCAAAATGAAAGATCCATACAAATGCTCAGAAGTTTGTTGATGTATAACTATTTATTCTTATATCTTTCTCACAAGAACTTACCAGCTTCATTTTACAATTATCTATCATCAATATTATGTTTAATCGAAAAGCATACAGTTGAATCGTTCTATGAAATCAAAAAAAAACCATTCGTCCTTCATTCGAAAATTTCAAAACATTTCAATATTTATTAAGCAGTAATACTAAAAGTTTTCCGTTTATTCTCGAACAAAGTGTCACACAATATAACCGTTGTCAACCATGAGCTCGCGGAGTTGTGAGTTAAAAGAAGAATCACGCTCAGCTTCAAATAATGAAAGGATCAAAAGAAAATTCTGGAACTATTCGAGAAAAGATAGATAAGTTATCGTACCATGTGTACTCAATTACTTCAAAAGTCATGTTGATATTCAAACAGAATTTGTTAGACGTAGTATAGAATGCAACGTCAAAATTTCTAACCTTAGCTTTTTTCCTTGATGATTCAATCAATTTGATTTTTCTGAAATGATTGTATTCAGCAATAAGAGTTTGTTCTTCTTTAAAGTTGCAAATGCCCTTATTAAATTTTTATATGGTCAAAGTCTAAAACTACAATGTTTTGTCCTTGAATAAAGTAAATGATAAACACGTCAACATGTCGATAAAAAAGAAAAGAGAAAGAAAAATCACGTGGTGATGAAATAAGTATAACAAGCGACTATAAAAGAAGAAATACTCATCTTTTTTTTTTTGTAACTAATTTCAATCATGTTAACTTGCAATTGTTTTGGATTTCTAAAAAAATTGGCTCTTTTCATTTTGCTTGCGGCTATTGCTATTCCTATTCACTATGGTTCAACAAATGTTCAACATCTTCGAATACGTCTGCTACATTCTATGTTATCAATCAAACATTCTCTCTTACCGGATCCAGCTCGACCAACACTCAGTGCAGACTATCGAGCTTTTGAAGACATAATTATTATGACACCATTAGCAGAACTTGATCCATTAGCAGATCTAGCTACTATAATTAAAGAATTACGTGCAGGTTTTACGATGGGTACGACTATTCCTAGACCATCACAATGTCAAGTCAACAAAGAAGTATTTGAACATGATGAACATACAATAGAGACCTATTGGGTTAATTATCATGGGAAAAATTTTCAAAAAACATCAGATAAAATCTTACTCTTTTTTCATGGTGGAGGATATATGTTGGGTGATATTAACAGTAAGTTATTTGTCATCACTGGGTAAAATAGTAGTTTTGTTTGATACGAATTCATACATAAAAAAATATTCTAAAACAGAAGACTCTTGATTATTAACTAACCTTAGATTTGATCTGTAGCAATATCTAAAATATTGCTTTGATATTTATTCAACATATAATATAGAATAGTACACTGTTATTTTTTGATAGATTATAGTGGATTTGAATGTCATTTGTCTCGTCTTTTCAATGTAACAATACTTCATTTGGAATATCGACTTTGTCCAGAACATCCATTACCTGCAAGTGTTGATGATGCAGTTTCACTTTACCGTGCACTTCTTCGTGATCATATTTCACCTTCTCAATTGCTTTTTATGGGTGATTCAGCTGGTGGTGGTCTTGCTTTATTAACAGTTCAAGCTTTACTTGCTCGACAATTACCTATTCCCCGTGGTGTTATTGTTCTATCTCCATGGACTGATCTTTCAGCATCTGGAGAAAGTTACAAACGCAACCGTCAAATTGATATCATGTTTCGTAATACTAAAGAAGACAACGGTAGTACCGTTAAATTAATGTTGGGTCCTAATCCTGCTCAATTATCTCCTGATAATCCTATTTTTAGTCCTTTATTCGGTTCCTTTGAAGGATTTCCACCAATGTATATCAATGTAGGTACAGCTGAAATATTGGAAGATGATTCACGACGAGTTGTAAAAAAAGCACAAGAATCAGGTGTGCATGTAACATTTGAAGAAGGTTTACATTTAATGCATGTCTATCCAGCATTTTTTCTTTATTATCCCGAAGCAAGAAATACACTTGACAATATTAATAAATGGATTCAAACAATCTTCGATCAAAAACTTAGTGAATAAATGAATACTTTATCTGTTGTCGAACTAGAAAGTTTATTAGAACGGTCAAATGTGTATTATACTTTTTTTTTTCATATTGAATATCAATCACAAAGAGATCCGGATATTCTATATTACATAATTTGTGTCATAAAAGAAGAGATAGAGATGATTTTTCTTTTCAACTCAGCCTAGTGACTGCTTGTTTGAACAGATAGTTTTGTTCATCGCCATTATTGTCAACCATTGATTTATAGAGTCAAATATTCGCATTTCTAGAAAGGCCTTATCATCTAACCAATTCGATGCTGAGCTTTTAACATAGTGACATTGCTTACATGGTCTATGTTCGAACACGCTAGGACCTATTGATGGTTTTACTAAAGATTTCCGAGTCAGAAAAATTAAATTGCAAAACTTTGCTTGCCATCAAAAATCGTACCCACACCCATGCTTCTTCATATGAAATTTCGTTTTTTTTTTCAAAACTTCTGGAACCATTTCTTCTTAGGCAATTCATTGTTCAATCTTCCAAACAGTGAATATAAATAGAAGCTTTTCAATTTGATACTTTTTCATTCTCTATACTTTCAAGATCTCCCTCGTTCTTGACCTTCGTTTGCCATACTTTCTCCAAGTTGCAACATACAATTATTGACTTTTCGTCATTAAATGCAAGTATACTTTATGTGAGTAAATGATACCCAAGTAGATACCACCAATAGAGAACAAAGTAAGAGCATCTATTATCTTTCCATTATTATTTTGCACGTATCTTTCGATCTTTGCACTGTTTTTATCATGTATGATAAAAGTATATCTAGGTCATTTCAAGCAATTCAATTTTCGGAGACCACTGGTCGGATGGTGTAAGTCTCTGATTCGAAGCTATATCGTACAAGCAATTTGTCGGTCGCCTCTGTGGCATGTATGTACAAAGTTAGAAGGGTCATGTTTCAATGTTTCGTTGAATGGTCACAGAAGACATGGATATCATTTTGTTCTGTTGTCTCTGCCCCGATTTAGCTTGCTTTTCTCTATCTTACGTGCAACCAGTTGTTTGAATCATATGTCCCTTTAGGTCCCATCATGAGTAGAAGATGAAAAATAAATATTGCGTAGTAAAAAATAACATTCCTATTTCCACACAGCGACGAATGTTGATCATTTTGACAAAAAAAACAAATGGAACATTCAATTTATATTAGTGTCACCCCTGTTTTCTAGATTTAGTAATGGGTTTAAATAATTCTCGCTTTCGTATGACAGCACAAGATATTGTCAATGAATGCAGTGACAATAGCGCGGTAAGTCAACTGCATATTCTTGTTACTGGTGCTACTTCCGGTATTGGTCTGGAAACTGGTCGAGTATTAGCCCGTGCCGGAGCAAAAGTATATTTAATGGGAAGAGATGAAGCAAAATTACAAGGTGTCATTCAAAATATTAATAATGAATTGCAACAGCAATCATCCGGTGGGTCCGTAAAAGGTGTCATTTGTGATTTGAATAGTCTAACTAGTATTAAACGGTTCGCACAACAATTCTTGGAAGAAAATATACCTTTGAATATATTGATATTAAATGCTGGAATCTTTAACTTTAACTTTGCTCAAACTGTTGATGGACTGGAACAAGTTATAGGTGTTAATCATTTTGGTCATGCCTATTTAACACAATTGTTAATGCCGACACTGATAAATAATGCTCCATCAAGAATTGTAATTGTATCGTCAAAATTTCATGCCGGTCCACCGTTAAATTATCAAGCATTTGCTCACATGAGCAACATTGGAAATAAGTCAAAAAGTGGATGGGGTATGATAAGTAGTTATCAACAAAGTAAATTGGCCAATGTTTTATTTGCCCGTGCACTTTCATCTCGATATAAAGATAAACAAGTTACAGCTTATTCTCTTCATCCGGGTCTTATTGATACAAATTTAACTTCGAACATACCACTGGCTAGTGTTGCTAAAATACTTCTTCCAAATAAAAAGTCAATGGCACAAGGAGCCGCTACTACGGTATATTGTGCATTAAAACCAGGCTTAGAAAATGAAACTGGACGTTACTTTGATGATTCTACTGTTACAAATGTAGCGGATAAATGGACAGATAATGATATCAATACATTCTGGGAATGGACAGAAAAGGTCATTGAAGAACGTACAGCTAAATTATAACGGGTACATGCACATTGTTCAGTTATGGATCACTGAATTTTAAGAATAAATTTTTTCGAATATTGTTCTACACGTTATATGCTCTTCACTTATTGTTATAAAAACACAATAAAGATTCGAATTTTAATAGTATATGTTCAAAATCGAAGACTTTATGCTTAAAAAATATCCTTGAATGGAGATCAAATGTAGCTTTTAACTGTGTTTGATTTTCTCAGAACGTGCATCACTGAATGACAAATGAAAATTCGACCAGTAAATTTTTGAAACACTTCATTATCGAAGAAGATATTAAAATGTATCGCTATGCTTTGAACGATGAGAGACTCCTTGAAGCATGAATATTTTATTGCTGTTTAATATCAGAGCTATCTGATGACAATCAGTAAATCGAAATGTTCTGATGATACCATAACAAACATTTGGTAGATCCTTGCTTGCGGCAGTACACAAAGTCGGTCTTGAAAAGTATGTCAAGCTCTTTGTATACTCGTTCATATTGACAAATAGCACACCAGTATTTTTTGTAAGCCACATAAGTGAATTTATATGTACATGTTGAACTTCTTCCTTTCATTAAATACAATATCATAAGCTGCTTAAGAGTCACTGAACAAAAAACATGACTTAACATGAAGATAGGGTACTCAATCCAAAATCTTCAATTTGAAAATGGGTGTAGGTGTTTGGACAATCTTATTTAAAATAGTATGGAATCAATGTTATTTTTTATTGCAAAACATTTCACAAAACATTTCTTCTTTTTGATAAGGTAGGTCTTTGTTTACGATAACTGTTTTCACACACTCAAAACCACTGTAAATACATGTGAAATTTGTAAAAACTTATTCATCATGTTCACTTCTATCATTCAAGACATGCTTGACTGAATCACTTTCTTTGGATTAAAAATTCAAAAGTTTGATGATAGAAATGAAATTATGGGTGATATTTATTTTGAAATGTGTGGCTTTCGTCCATTGAGAAGCGGAGTCAAAGCGGACGATCGATGACCTCTTGAATTAAACGAGCTGTTAATCGTTGAACTTATCTCCAAATGGTCAACATTTGTTGATTCATACCCGACGTCCATCATGAGACTCCAGTTCTTTCGATAACAGTCTGTGGTTGTATGAAATTGATGAACATTTAAGTAAGCTCATTACAGATAAATTATTTGAAGCACAGAAACCACAATGGTCATCAATTGAAAATTAGATTATGTTAGTACTACATCATATTTTTGCAACAGGCCATAAAAATGATCATTATAGTCATCAATGTTTCTTAAACAATACTCCAAAAATAGAACAGAGCATATATATACATATCCAGCGAATCAGATATATTAGTATTTCAAATTCAACCAATAAAGGTAATATATTTATGAAGTCTATTGGAAAGATACAATGTAATATGAAGAGGATAGAACCAATTTGGGAGTACAACTCATCGTATCGATATCGATAGTCAAAACCGAATATCTTCTATAAAAATTGATCTCGTGAACGTACCTTTCCTAATTAGTGAATTATTATTGGTTTTATACAAAGAAAAACTCATTTTTCACTTCCATATTGACTATTGTAAATATAGGGAAATGTTTTTGACATTGATTCAATTCATCTACACAATATGTCGTGATTAATACGATCAACAGCAGATGAGGGAGCTGAACAAAATCACTAAATGTCAAATGATGGTAAAAAAAGTGATTTATCAAGTATATCCATTTTCATTGAATGAAACTCAATCTAATAGTACACAACAACGATTATATTCTGTTGATCTAACAAATAGACAGATTGAATGTTAAAGAAAATATTAAATCTATTCGTGACAACCACCTTCTAATAATTCGATTGTACATGTTGGATTAAACGAAACATATGAATTAATTTTATCAGCGAAAAATTCAGGTGTTTTTGTTTTCTTATCGTACAGAGAAGCAAATGAAAATAGTCAATTTGCTCGATTAGATTTTTCTCAAGTTAAAATATATCAATGGATCAATAATACGGATAACGGAACGATTGAAGAATCTCTACAGTATCCACCGAGAAAATTCGATGATAAAAATTTTATATCTTCTTGCTCTCATTAACGCCAGTTGGACGGATGCAAATCTCAATTTTTTTCTTCGGAAACTGGTACGCTTAGGCTCCAATGGCAGCCACTGAAGGTTGGCTAGTTTCAGAATTCAACTATCAAGGAACGTCTGGATATAGTGATCAATTTCTGAATCAAATTCGTTATAAAACTTTAACTCGACCCACACCCAGATTCTATCCGGGGCATTGATCGTCTCATCAAAGATGGTATGATTGGCCCCAGTAGACATACTGTTAGAGGCTACAGCTACGGCGATATTTTGACAAACTGGTTTATTATTCAAACAAAGCATTTTAATACTGCCATATCCAGTGCGAATGCAGTTGAATATATTTCTTCATGGAGTGCCACGGATATATCTATCTATTCTGACTATCTCTTTGAAGAGTTTCCATGGGTACCATCATAAATATATCATAGTGAATCAGCTGCATACAGTGCGTACACTTACCCATATCCTGACTAGTGAAAATGACATACTGGTTCCTGTGAGTCAAAGTTTTCTGCTAGAACGTCGCCTACATTATCTAGGAATACCTGCCAAGGGTATAGGTGTAGGTATAGCTGAAATAGTATGAGTAAGTGCGCGTAATAGAAGCCAATATTCACACTTCTAGTATTGATTTGGAACGCAGATTTCAAATCTTTTTTTGATTATCTTGAGTTTTATTCGGTGCCAGTTGCTCAACCAATTAATTATGTTAAAATCCAGACTATGTTTATGTCAATATCTTGGTTATAGGCCTTTTACTAAATTAGGATCGATAAATATTCTTAATAAGACGCGCATTCGTATTCATCGGCAGACTGCAATGGTCAATTCAATCAAATTTCATGACACGTCCTGGATACCATTGCGGCGAGTCGTATTTTCCACTTTTGCTGTTCCCTTATTCACGGGACTTGCTGCACTTAATCTGCTCTTCACAGGTTTACAACACGAGAATCTATATCATTTTTACTATATGTCGCTTAAAAGTGTGTATCAGTGTTTTTATTGGAAAGAAATGTGCTTTTCGTTTGTTAATGGAGAAAAATTACTGAATGATGTATATATATATATGCTATAAATATTGGTTAAAATGCTGCAAAGGTCTCACAAAAATCATGAGATGCTTACTTGATTGTAGGACAACTTTCTCTTAATGCATATAGAATGAAATAGAAGGAAAAGGTAACAAATGCACTGCCTACGTAGATCTAAACGATGTTGTCTTCATCTTGATATATTGGATTCAGTGACTAGTTGTATGTCATCACCTCTGGGGGAAGACGCTGTGTCAGAATTGAATGACCATAAATTTGATTGTTTCCTATTGTTCTTGGACACGTTCTGGTGTGATATTAGTGTAATCCATTCGTCTATTTCTTTAGAGGTTCTACTTTTCGTTCTGTTCCTTCACAATTTTTTTGCTTTCTTTTTCTTATTCTTTTTTTCGTGTTATTCATGCTGCTTCTTTGGGATTGAAATACTCAGAGGATTTTAAAGACAATACATATATAGCAGAATATATGAATGCAAAAAATACTATAGATAATACTTAACAATCAGTCGATCTTATTTCGTCAAAAAAAACACTTCTTTCGTAAACTTTGAGTAACTCAAGTTCTTGATATCGTACAAAACTAAATTTTAGTTTCTGAAGTATATTAAACATTTCTTTGTCGATCGATTGAAAAATAATCAATTAATGTTTAACAAGAAGCGTCACAATAGTTCCAAGATCATTTAGTACTAAATCTCAGAAAAATCTCCATTACTTATTATTAATAGGCTCTATTTCCTAATAAAAAAATATCTCTTGGGTATCTCTTGACATGACGCTTGAGTTGATGTTTTTCTTTTTAAAATAATTCGAACTTGTCGATTTTTTCATTTCTTCGATACAAAAATAGGCAATGAAAAACAAGATGCATTTGTGTTCTTCATTCTGCCGATACATGTATTTTATTTTTCTATTTAAGCCGATCAGCGTTTTTTTATTTTCCTTATTCTGCCGTCAAATTAAGATATATATAGAAATATGAGCAAATGATTTAAAATATGTTCTAACTGATCGATAGAATAAGGGAAACAAAAAACGTTCATCGGCATAAATAAGAAAATAAAATAAATGTCGCAGCAAGGTAAGAAACAGAAATACGTCTTTTATTTCACTTCACATTTTTGTATCGAAGAAATGAAAACAAAAACTAGATAAATTCGAATTGTTTTAAAAGAAAAATATCCGTCTATATGTCATGCCAAGAGGAATCCAAAAGGTGTTTTCTATTCCGAATAGAGGTGATTTATAATAGCAAATTGATATTTTTCTGCAATTCATTACCATTTTGCATGCGAACGGTAGAAATAAAAAAAAAATACGATTATCAGCAGATACACAATTAGAGGTAAAATTCAATAAAAAATGATCTCGATGCTATTGTGATGCTTCTTCGTAAACATCAGTTGATTATTATTTTTCAAAGAGTCGATCGAATCTACTTAAGATATTACGAATGATTTTCGATTTCTCGTTTTTCTTGGAAATTGCTACTCAATTTATATACAAATATTTGCTAATCAATACTAGCTAAAATTAATGGATGATATATGGTCAAAATCCACTGAATTAGTTGATATCAAATGGTAACATACCTAGTGGAGAATATTGTGACCTTTCAAGATTGTTAACTTATTTTCGATACATTTTGATGCAGAAATATCTATGAATATGTCGTGTTGCAGGTACAGTTCGTTTTTAGTTAAGTGTTAACTTAACGATGAAAGACATCTTTCAAGCGAATATGTCCAAATTGAAAATCAGAGCATCTTTTTATAACTAGCCAGGTAACTCGAATAGGATCATCATGACATTTTACCAATGAATAAACGAACTTTAGGTTAGTACCAGCGAAGTATACATTCGATGAATTTTAGTTTAAAAGAAATGTTTAGTATTTAAAACAATAGGTTTTACCTTGTTCATTAATACCACTGGGTTTTCGAATATTGATAAATGAAAAGTTATTGACAAAAGATATAGACAGTTCTTCAGATCTTTATTGTTTCTTTTTCAAATACTTATATAAATTATAGGTTGCACAATAATCTTCTTATATGTTATATAGAGACTTTATATGCAATAATTGTATATACTGGTGACAAACGAGGTGCCGGTACAGATAGTCAAGTTTATATAACATTATTTGGAAATAATGAAAAACGAACAGAAAAAATTCATTTAAAAAATTCTAACAATAAAGATCCATTTGAACGTAATCAAGCAGATAAATTTTGTGTTAAAGGTGATTATATTGGAGAATTAACTAAACTTCGTATTGAACATGATAATACTGGTCGATTAGCTGGATGGTTTCTTGATCAAGTATCAATATTTATTTTCGTTTTTTTTTCTTATCTCAATGAAAATATTTCTATTTTATTTCATCAGATTATTGTGACAAATCTTTCTGATCCAGAAACAACATATTTTACAACATGTAATGAATGGTTAGCAAAAGATGAAGGTGATGGACAAATATCTCGAGATCTTATATTAAATAAACAATCAAGTGAAATACAAAAAGGTAAGAAAAAGAATTTTAGTTGATTTTTTTAAAACATTTTTTACTTGCTATGCATAGATAATCAATATAAAATAACAGTTTATACTGGGAATCAAAGAGATGCTGGAACAGATGTTGATGTATTCATTACACTTTATGGTAATTTAGGTGAAACAGATGCGATTAAGCTAGATAATAAAAACAATAATTTTGAAGCTGGAAAGTAAGACTTATACATGATTCTCTATGATAAAAAATATATATATATATATATTTTTTTTTTCTTTTCATAGAAAAGATGAATTTACAATTGAATGTCCAACTGTTGGTACATTAAATAAAATTTTAATAGCACATAATAATCAAGATTTTGCACCAAATTGGTTTTTGGATCGAATATTGATTGAAGATGTTAATGCACATCATATATATGAATTTTTATGTGATAGATGGTTAGCAAAAGATGAAAATGATAAACAAACAGCTTGTTTCTTGTTTCCAAAAACATCAAGTGATCATGAAAAACAACCGATAGAAAGTAAATAATGTTTTATTTTAAAACAAAACTGAATTAAATCTTTTCTTTTTTAAATTTTTAGCTATGTGTAAAGATGATGGTAAATAAAAATGAAACAAAATAAATATATATATTCTTGGTTTTTAGATACTTCGTATAATATAAAAGTTTATACGGGTGATAAAATCAATGCTGGTACAGATTCACGAGTTTATGTAGTTTTACGTGGAAAAAATTCATCGTCAAGTCAAATAGTTTTGAGAAATGGAAAATTTGACAAAAAATCTATCGATAAATTTACAATTTATGCTTCAAATAATCTTAGTCCATTAACAGCATTGTATATTGGACATGATAATAGTGGATTTGCATCTGGATGGTATCTCGATAAGGTTTGTTCAGATTGATTTAAGAATATCTAATTGATCAAAATCAATAGTACAAGAAACCATATTATGCTTTTAATCATCAATCAATCGCTCTATGAACATCTATAGAGGTGTATAGATCTATAGAGATAAACAGATGTAAAATTATTCAGGATAGAAGCAATAACTCCTTATTCAAAGGCGTTTCCTTTATCGCTTTTTGCCCTCATAATCAAAATATTCGATGTTTCAATACTTTTATATCGTTGTTTTGTTACAGATTGATATTTTTTCTTAAAGAATCTGAATTTGCTACGAATTCAAATACACCATCAGATGTCAAAAGACTATCACAGTACGCTCGTACCCTACTAACTTTTTTCTATAGAATCACTTGAGAAAAGTTTTCTAGCGATTATTTTTGATGCAAAAGGCAGCTGATCTCCACTTTGATCCTTTTACTACATACCATACCGGTATTTTTTAAAATTTTTTATTGAATTTTTTTTATAATGTGTAATTGATGTTTGCTGTAAGTCATACAATTGGTTCAATTGATAGATACTTCGTTTTTATTTGAATATTCTACTACTGTTAGGTAACACTTACGAAATGATTTTAATTGAATATGAATAATGAACATGAAAATAACTACAACGTTTTGAATTAGGTTGACAGTTTTTCTAATAGTTACGCTCGGTTAACGAAGATAAGGGTCCTTTGAAGGTCTCTATGTTCTCAAGATTTATTTATTAATAAAGCTAATGTCTTAATAGATTGGTATTTGTAATATATAAAGTTCTTCTTGCTTATATTCAATACTAATATATTAAGCAGAGATGTAAGCAGATCGACTTTTCTCAAATGTGATCTTGTAAGTTTTTTTGTTTTAATGTAAATATTATGAAGATGCATGTATAGTAATAACGCGAAAGAACATTATTCATCATATCTGAATTAATTTAAAAAACATTCAACTATGATTTAGATTTTAGAATAATAATAATAATATTTAGATTTGTCTGATGACATGTCATTGAAATAAATAATGATGAGCGATGACTTTCACTGATAAGAATAAACTTTCAAAAAGAAATTTCAAGTAAAAAGTAGTAGACTCTAAGATAGATCTAATGGTTGGTTACTGATATTCAATAGCATTAAATAAATTCTATTTGTTATGCTCACTAAAAGCTAAAACCAAATTCATATATTATATTTGATCAATGATTTTTCTCTTTCATTTCACAAAGATGAAAAACATTTTAGGTTCTTGTTGAATGTCCAATTACAGGTATTCAACAAACATTTCCCTGTAATAATTGGTTAGCATATGATGAAAATGATGGACGTACTGAACGTCGATTAAAAGAAGATTTATCATTACGTAAAACTCATCGACCAAGTAAATAAATTAAAAATTATTTTCATTTATTTATTTTCTTTATTCAGGTGTTCCATGGTACATATGGATGTATACAAATGATAAGAAAGGAGCAAGTACAAATGTTCAAGTAATTCTTGTTCTTTATGGTGATAATGGAAAATCACGGAATGTTAAATTAGAAAGAAATTCAGATACATTACAACAAGGTCAATGTGATCAATTTAAAGCTGATATAAATGATGTTGGTATACCATATAAATTACGTGTTAGTCTTAATGATAAAAATTTATCTACATCATGGCATCTTGATCGAGTATAAAAGAAAAAAAATATCTATTGTTTCTTTTTTTTGTTTCTTATGAAAGTTTTAGATTGAAATGGATAATCTTAAAACAAATCAAGAATATATATTTCATTGTGGAAGATGGTTATCAAAAACAGAAGATGATAAACAAGTTATTCGAGAATTACCAGCTGAAGGATCAGAAATATCCAAACCTTTACCTATTGTTAAATATATAGTTGATGTATATACAGGAAATAAAATTGGTGCCGGTACCGATGCAAATGTCTTTATTAATATTTATGGTGAATATGGTGATACAGGAGGTTATTATATATAAGACTTGAATTCAATAAAATTTTAAATGAAAAAAAATTCTTTTTTTGTTTTTTCTCTAGTACGTTCATTAGAATATTCATTAAAAAATAAAAATAAATTTGAAAAAAATCAAGTAAAAATACATTTTAAAAATAATCATTTAAAAAAATTATCTTTCATAGGTTGATAGTTTTATTATTGAATCTGTTTTATTAAAACAAATACGTAAAATTCAAATTGGTCATGATGGTACTGGTTAGTTATATTAATAAAAGAATTATTTTTTTGTTTTTATTTATGTATATAATCATTAAATAGGAGTAGGTTCTGGATGGTTTTTAAATAAAGTTATTATTCGTCAAGAAGATGGCTGTTATGAACCAACAACATTTATTTGTGATAGGTATTTAGAAAACAAAAAAAAAAATAGCAATATATATATATTGTTATTAAATAAAAAAACAAAATAATTTTTAGATGGTTTGCTGTTGATGAAGATGATGGACGAATCGTTCGTGAATTTATAGTAACACAACATTTAGATATGACAACATATAATATTAAAATAAAAACTGGTGATGTTTTTCAAGCTGGTACTAATGCTGATGTACATTTAAAAATATTTGGTGAGAAAGATACTACAGATAAACTTCAACTTACAACAATAAATAATAATACAAAAAATATATTTGAACGTGGACAAATCGATAATTTTACATTTGAATGTTATGATCTTGGCAAAGTTTGTTAATTTTTCATTTGTATTAAGATTATTTTAAATATTATCAATAGATTGAACACATACTTATTGGACATAATGGAAAAAATCTTGGTGCTGGATGGTTTCTTGATTGGATTGAAATTGATGTACCAAGTCGTCGAGAAGTTTATAGGTATGAGTTCATATATATATATACATAATATCGAGTGTCTGTTATCAGGTTCAAAGGCAAAGATAAAGTCCTAAAATATTACTTAAACGTTCTAGAAAGGCATCCAGAATTATTAATCAATGAAATTGACTTCTTCTTGAAATTGAGTTTCATATTTTTTCAATAGTCAATTCAGATCTCAAGATTCGATTATTTTTCAAATTAGACTGTTATATCTCATTTCGGCTGCATACCGTCGACTCAAAATTCGATATTATCGATTATTTATAGAGTCGTGTTATCTAATGTTCATATGAAAAGTGTTTTTGGTTTTGTTTTCAGCTCTTTTAGGATGAATAATATATCAAATGAATATTCATTCTTTATACTTTGACTAATATTGCACTAGTTTTCTTCTGAATAATGTTTGATAAACTTTTATTTTCATTAAAAAAGTCAGTTGTAATCGATTCAAAGATATGTGAAAAAATTAATTTAGTCAAGACGTTAGTCTTATTATTAAAAGACACTTCTCCATATTAAAAAGGTAGGAAAATTAAAAAAAAAACGATGTTTTCAGTGAATTTATTTTTTGATGTATCCTTGAGAGATTTTGCTGAAATACAAGAAAATTTCGGCTTTTCAGTGATGAAGACTTAGATCTATTTGTATCTTTGGATAGATAGCGTAGTCGACATTCGCAAACTTCTTCTCTTTTTTGTTATTTTTCACAGATGTTTTTCTCTTCAACATCGTCAATTTACCAGCAAAATCATAGAGTTTCCAATATATTTAAGGATGAAGATCCGTAATATTATTAGGAAAAAACTTAAATCTACTATCTAACAGTAAAAAACAGTGAAAGCAGCACAAATTTCAACATTTTTTTTTCCTTGACCAATACTGTCTGTTGTTTCGAGATTGCTGAACTATGATCAATATACTAGGTATCGGAGCAATTTTCAGTTGAGATTTAGGGTATCTTCTAGCTCTTAATGATCAAAATCACATTCGGGTGTATTTATTTGTTTTTTTTCTTAAAAAAAATTTTCTGGTGGCTTTAGACAGACCTCACAAAAATTTGCATTAGGAAAACAATACATTTTCTGACAGGTCTTCTAGTATCTCAGTTCTCCTAAGCAAAAGAAACAATGTTTTTCAACGAAAAAACATCTAAATCAGTCATACAAAATGAATTGTGAATGTTTGCGAGAAAATCTTCAAGTCATTTTTTGGTTCCTGTGCTCTCATTTATTTCATGGAAGGAAGCATTAGAAAAATTGTAATATATGACAATTCTTATTCTACTAGTCGAGATTTATCTATCCTGAATGTTTCATAAGCTTTTGGAACTCACATATAGTTCCGAAGAAAATAGTTTGTATAAGTTGTAAGTTGAAGTTTTTCGGCTTTCTTCCCCATTACAGTCTTGTCTTATTTGCTATTTAAATCAAAGCTTATAATAGAAAAAAATATTTACCTTACGAAAGCAAGATATGTAAAAGAAAAATAAGGAGCGAATAGCAAAAATAAGACGTCCGTAAAAAAGAATGAAAAAATTCTTATTCAAATTGTAGAAATAAACGAGACAAATCCTTACTCGACTGATTGATTAGCTTGCAGCACAACGATAATCTACGAGAGATTTCTTACTTGACGTTGTTTGTATTACTCTAGTGAGGTTTAAGAGCACTAAAGGCCAATAAGTAGTAGCGAGATCAATCGCGATAATATAAACGAAAAACAACGGCGTTGCTACCGCGATGGTATTTACAAACGAATGTTGTGACTTTCAATGTTGTAACTATATTTAACTACAACTGCTGTCACTGACACATGAGATTCATTGAATCTTAGAATGTTTCATTGGTTGGCACCAAAATTTCATGTACGTTCATATAGTTTTAAAATATTCTCTGAGAATGTTGCTGCCATCGCGCTACGATGGATATCTCTAATGAGTAGTCTCTGTTATCTTATTCCATGGATAGATTTGATTAGAGATTTCTTTGTTTAGATAAATTAAATTCGTTTTAGTATATGTTTATCTTCTATTTCAATAGATTTGCCTGTTATCGTTGGTTAGATAAAAAAGAAGGCGATGGGAAAATTGAACTTAATTTAATACCATTAGACATATTTAAAAACACAAGTCGTAAATATCAAAATAATTCAATTTAATATTGAAATATAATTTAAATAAAATTAATAATAATTTTGTTATATAGTTATTCCATATGAAATAACAATTTTTACTGGTGACAAAGTTGGTGCCGGTACAAATGCGAAAATATTTATTCAAATATTTGGTTCACATGGTAAAACAGACGAAATTCTTCTTAAAAATGAATTCGATTCATTTGAAAGAAAATCAGTATAAATAATTTTCAATAAATTTTTTGTTTTATGTTTTCAATACAAATTTTTTTTCAGGTTGATAAATTTAAAATCGAAGCTCCTAATGTCGGACAAATTGAAAAAATTCGAATTGGTCATAATTCAGAAAAATTTGGTGCAGCATGGTATCTTGAAAAAGTAAAGTTTTATTTTGTTGCTTGTTTTTTTGATTTTATCAAAATTTTAATTTAGATACTTATTCAACAACATTTACATGAACCATTTGATAAACAAAACGAAGTATTAAATCCGAATGTTGAAGAATATTGGTTTGTTTGTCGAGAATGGTTTGATAAAGGTCAAGGTGATAAACAAACTATTCGAGAATTATTACCAACTAATGAAAATGAACATATATTGAGCGATCAAAAAGGTAAAAGAACAAAAAAAAACTTTTTTTTAAAGTCAATAGAAAAATATTTTATTAGAAACAACTTATCTTGTACATGTTTTTACGGGTGATAAAAGTGGTGCTGGTACAGATGCAAATGTTTTTATAACAATCTATGGTCAATATGAAGATTCAGGTAAACAATTAGATTTCATTTTATTTAAAATAAATAAAGAATTATTATAGGTGAACATCAATTAACAACATCAAAAACAAATATCAATAAATTTGAACGAAAACAAGTTTGTTTGTTTTTTTATGTTGTATTTTCAAATCATGTATTTCTTTTTTCTTTTCAATTTAAGGAAGATATTTTTGAAGTCAAAGCTCCAACATTGGGAAAATTGACAAAAATTAAAATTCGACATGATAATACAGGAGTATGAATATTAGACTGAAAGTTAATCTTTAGACTAGTATGCACTTAACAAACTAAATCTGAAGCTTCGGAGTAACTTTTCTTGAAAGACGAATAGCATAACTTTAGTAATAGAAAAGTTCATTCGAAACTGTTTGATTCTCAAATTTTTACTTCAACAACAAGGTTTAGAATGTAAAAATTTCACATCAATTGTTTTTATAACGAACTATCAAACAGTTTTTTTGAATAGGAATTTACAAGATAGTTCTGGTTTTGATCCCACGAGACTAGAATCGTATTTGAGGATGTGGCCTCATAGACCTTTTCTAAGAATATTTTAAACTTTTATTCTGAAAGACGAAGTTTATCGACACAGCAGAAAAGGTAGTGCTTGTGACTATAATAGAAAAATTAGACTTTGTCCGATGCCAAAAACAAAATGTAGCATTTTTCTTCTATATATAATCAAGTTTCGATTATTTTTACGAACTTCTGATCTTTCATGATTGTTTTATAATCATTTTTCGACGTATTTTAAAACGATCGAATAAATAATGCTTTTCTTAAAAGCGGGTTGCTCATAGAAAATAAAAAGTTCTGAATTAAGTTTGATTAGATTCTGAATCAATTCAAAGAGTTTTACAAATTATTACAGCAAAGCTGTTGAATTTTGGAAGCGAAACTGGAACTAAAAAAAGGCGACTTTGCAGACCCTTACTTTTGAAATGAGCTATAATCCATAACCGAGCAAAGCAGAACAGTAGAGATTTCATTCATCTTGTTTACGAGTAGCTTGTTATAAAGAAGTTTCAGTTCAGTATGAATTTTTAATATAGCTCTCATGACTTATAGGTATGAATCGCTATCGTCACCTAAGAAGATGAGCTTACTTTTTATTGATAAGAATTTTCATTTATTTTCTATAGAAAGTTATGCTACTTTTTCATTCTGAATATTTCTTCTCTATGAAAGTCTTTGATAAAAATTCAATTTTTTTTGTTTATTTCTACAGATATCTTCTGCATGGTATCTTGATCGAATTGAAATTGTTGATCCTGAAACTGTCATTAAGTAAATATAATAGAAAAAAATTGAAATAAAAATCCTTCTATTATTTAAAAGATATCATTTTATATGCGAAAAATGGTTAGCTGTCGATACAGATGATAGAATGATATCATTCGAAATTCTTGCTCTTGAAAATAAAGTAATTTCTGAATCAATTGGACATCAAAGTAAGTTTTTAAAAGAAAAGAATTCATTTTAATAAATAATTGATAAAATAATATTTTCATCTATAATCTTTCTCTTCGGATATATCTTCTTTTTGGTTATAACTTTAGCTACAACTTATCGAATTAATGTAATTACTTCGAATAAATTTGGTAGTGGTACAGATGCTAATGTTTATATAATTATATTTGGTGAACATGAGAATACAGGTGAAATTTATTTCTATTAAATAAAAGAAAAATATGTTTATTTAAATAATAGGCAAAATTCCATTAGTTAAATCAAAAACAAATAAAGATCCATTTGAAAAATGTCATAGAGATCTCTTTGAAATTGAAGCTATAGATATTGGTCAACCAGAAAAGATTAAGTATAAATAAAATATTATCAAAGAATTACTTAATTCTTTTTTTGTTTTAAGAATTGGTCATGATAATTCAGGTTTTGGATCAGATTGGTTATTAGAATGTGTAGAAATTAATGTACTAAAATTAGATCATACATGGATATTTCCATGTGGAAAATGGTTACATAAAACAAAAGATGTTACTCAATTAGAACTTGAATTATATCCAAAAGAAATATCAACTGGAATCTATTCATCATGTAAGAACATTAAAAAAAGAGTATGCTCAATTAAATATGTAAAAATATTTCATTAGATGTTCCATATCAAATAAAAATTTGTACATCAAATATTTTTGGTGCAGGAACAGATGCTAATATTTATATTCAAATCTATGGTCTTCAAAAATCAACTGATCAAGTTATGTTATGTAGTAAAATAGATCGACATGGAAAATTTCAAAGAGGTTCTACAGATATTTTTATACTTGAACTTGACGATGTTGGAGATTTTATGGAAAAAATTCGTATTGGACATGATAATAGTGGTTTTGGTAAGAGAAAATAGACAATTGAACATGAATTATTTCGTTTTTTTTTGTTAAATAGGTCCAGCATGGCATTTAAATCATGTTGAAATTCGTCGATTAATTAAAGGTGAAAAAACAAATACATATGTATTTCAATGTAACCGTTGGTTTGCTAAAACTGAAGATGATGGATCTATTGTGCGTGAACTTTTTCCAGAAAAACTTATTAAAGAAAAGCTTAATAAGAAATAAATATTGAACGTTTATACAGATGAATGTGAATAAACACATTCTCAAACAAATTAAAATAAATTTTGAAGAAAACAAATTGATTGATTTATAATTGAAAGTAATCATTTACGGAAATATTTATAAACTTAAAATCCGATGTGATAATTATGAAATATTAAACTATTGGTTTTAAGAAAAAGTTGAAATTAAAGATAAAAGATAAAATCTATGTATTTTATTGTTAACGATGGTTAGGAGAGGATAAAGATGATTCAAAACTTGAACAAATAATTTTGCTACTAATAAACAAAAAAAAAATAAGATTGTGATGTAGTCGGAGAAATCTCATAGAGAAGACTCAGTCGTCAGTTTTCTAAATTTAAACGTGATTGATTTGAG